ACACTGAGTTTTAATTATCTTTTCATACTCGATGGATTCGTCGTCTAATGTTAAACTGGAATAATGTTCTCTAAGATATTTTAAATTAATACTTTGACCCTTGGGTCGACCTGAAGATTGTGTTGGATTCTGGTCTTCACAAAGAGAGGCACCCCACAAATCTTCACATGTTTTGTTATCCAGGTTAACTTTATCGTTAACAGCCTTACCATCGATGAGTAAGCCCAACAACATATACACATCTTCTAATGTGATGGTGCATTCACCGAATGGAAGGTGAAATGTGTGGGCCTCTGGTCTCCATCGTTCTAGCAAATCGAGAATAAATTTTTAATCAATCGAGTACGAGACTATGTTTAGCACATGACGGAAACCGCATGATCGTAAGTATGATTCTATGATTGGGTCGTGTGGTACATAGTCACTCCCATGACATCGAAATCTCTTTACATTTTGACAAAAGATATAAAGAAACTAAGTTAGCAAGAATAGTAAACCATAATCTTAAAGAAACTATATCTTTAAGTAAATAAGTAAGCAAAACTAGTATACTTAAAAACTTACAAATGTTGAAATATTGTCAATTGTTCCTCTGTGTTCATCATCCATAGTAAGGAGAGGCATTTTTTTAATGAAAGTTGAGAGATTAAGAATGTGGGTAGATTAAGAATGTTGAGAGATGACGCATATGCTGATGAAAATTGTGTGAAAGACATGGCCATTTATAGAAGGATTAGAGCTTGTTCATGTGAATTACTTTTTGCATGGCAATGTGAATACATATGCCATATGAAATGGCACATATGTATGTATGATAAAGCATACGCCATTTGATATGACGCATTTGTGTTGCTTCCAATGGATTCTCCATTTGGTATGGCACCTTCTTTAATGGAGGAACCTTGTTGTAAGATAATTGTGTAAGGTGTAAGGCATCTTACATGCATGCAGAAGATAAGAGAATCATGTAAGGTGTAAGGCATCTTGTAAGGCATGCCATTACAAAACAAAATTGAAGACAAGCCATAAAGTGAAGGATTCGTGGAATGCATGCCAAATGAAGACAAGAATAGGGTTTTAGTAGGAAAGCATGTATTAAGAAGACAAGAATAGGGTCTTAGTACGCATAAAAAGTTAAGAAGATAAGAAGATAAAAAGATACAATTGAGACAAGACTAATGCATGTATGGTCTAAACGAGCATACATGTATAATTGAGAGAAGACTAATGCATGTATAGTCAAAACAATAATATATAAAAAATTCTATTGCATGAAACTAGAATTCTATTAATATGCATGAAACTAAAATTTTATTGCACCACAATTCTATCAAACACCAGTACATTAACATATTGCTCGTATGACTCAAACACCACAATACATGATCAATGCACATATCAATAGTGAGATATTTTATTGTACCATAACCAGTTTCAATTTGCGTGATACTGATGTTACTCAGTTTTCAATTAACAGACGATAAAAAAATTTCCATTTGAAAGAGAGATTAGAAAAGAAATTACAGTGTGGTCCAGATCATCTACAAGAGTCCAATATTTTTTCCGACAACCAAGTCAAGTTTTTACAATTAAAGGTTCGAGATGATGGAGATGTTCATAATATGTTTCTCAGTCATGAGTATTCTGACTTCAATGATATTGAGCTTTATATTATACTACGACAACATCAAATGTATCAACTCGTTGATCCTTCTCAAGTTTTTTAAGAATCTGATGACGAACAAGCTGAAGTCGATGTTGTTGACGACGAAGAAGAAGAAGTTGAGGTCTTGGTTGATGAAATGGTAAACAATTCCACTATCGACCATGAAGAAGACCCATTACCGGCCAGTCATGTTTATTGTCCACATCAACACATGACAAATTTGAACTTGGGTGCATATGAACCATCTTCAGATATTTTTCACAATCCATATATGCAAATACAAGGAGTATTAAAAGAGGGAGACAATTTCCGAACAAAAGAAGACTGTGTCTGAGCTATAAAATAGTATCACATAGAATTATCAGCTGATTATAGGATCGATCAAACGAATGTGACTCTGTATAAGATCTAGTGTTGTAATGAGGTCTGCTCGTTTTGATTGACATCATCTTACCGGAAGAGAAGCGATTCTTGGAAGATATGGTCTATGGGTCCAGAGGACACTTGTATAATCACCAATCTGATGCAGGATCATCGCAAACTCATCTCTCAGTTAATATGCAATGAAATTATGTCTGTCATTAATGATAATCCCTCATTAAAGGTGAGTATAATAATCTCGCATATCATTCAAAGATATAATTATACTATGTCGTACAAGAAAGCCTGGATAGTTAGGACTAAGGCAGTTGAAACGGTGTTCGAAAATTGGGAGGATTCGTACAGGGAACTTCAAAAATATTTGGTGGCACTTAAACATTATGCTCTAAGGACTGTTTCCATTTTGGAGACATTGCCAGCATATACCCCAAACGGAACTTGTGTTAGTGGAAATGGCATATACCACTAACTCTTCTGGGCGTTTGAACCATGTATCAAAGGTTTTTCCTATTGTAAACCTATTATAAAAATTATTGGAAGATGGTTATATGGGAAATATAAAGGAACACTACTCATGACAGTGGCACAAGATGGCAATAACAACATTTTTCCAATCGCCTTCACTCTAGTTGAAGGGGGGACTGTTGGGGGTTTGAGTTTTTCTCTAAAAAATCTCTAATTACATGTGACTCCTCAACCTAACTTATTTTTGATATTTCAGACATAAATGCGTCAATTGAGAGTACATATAAGAATCTTGATAACGACTAGTAGGATCCTCCTTTAACGAATGTATATTGCATTAGACACATCGCTCAAAATTTCATGCAGGAGATCAAAGACAAGACGTTGTGGAAGAAGGTTGTGAACACAGGGTATGCATTAACAGAACCTTCTTTCAAACACTACCGTGAAGAAATCAGATTAACAAATACAGATTTATTAAGGTGGATCAACAATATTAAATTGGAGAAGTGGACCACGGCATACGACAATGGACAACGATATGGCCACATGACAATAAATCTCATAGAATCAATGAACTCTGTATTCGAAACCTACCAATAACCACTTTGGTAAGGGCAACCTATTTTAGGCTTGGGGCACATTTTGATATCAGATGCTCAAAATGGAGTTCTGTCTTACAATTTGGGCAGTTGTTCAGTAATAGTTCAATGAAATTCATTAAGAAGGAAGCTGCCGAAGCTAACACACATGTGGTCACACTGTTTGACTGCAATAAAGGTTGGTTCAGTGTTAATGAGTTAATGGATCACAATGAAGGGAGGCCGAGGGAATCCTATCAAGTAGAACTAGATAGAAGTTGGTGTGACTGCGGAAAGTTTTAAGCCTTTCGTATGCCTTACTCCCATATCATAACAGCGTGTTCAAAGGCTCGTCAGGACCCTTCCAACTTATTGTCCATTGTTTACCAAGTCATAAATCTATGCAATGTCTACAACACTAGCTTTCCAGTGGTAGCAAAAGAGGACTATTGGCCTACATATGAAGGGGAAATAGTCTGACACAATGAAATTATATGAAGAAAGAAAAAGGGTCGCCCTAATAGCACGCGTATTTGAATAGGAAATGGATGCGGCGAACAAAATTGTGAGATTATGTAGTTCATGTCGTCAACCCGGGCAGAATCATAAAAACTGTCTCAATGTTGGACCACGCACAACAACATAATTTTAAACATAATTGTTTCTCTTTATATCAACAACAACTTTCATTTCATAAATATCATAACATTCAATAACAATAATTTAAAAACAACAAGTAACAATAATTTAAACAATTAAACAACAAAACAAACAAATGCAACGACTAAACAACATAACTATGCGACTACAACCATTAGGACAATTTCTTGAGAACTATACATCAACATCTGAACATCTATGTCAGTTATAACATTCTCCCAGAAACAAACTTCTCCATTTTGGTTGAACGTGGTAACAAGTCTTTCAATTCTTCTGATCTTTTCACCCTCTAGAATGTCTACATCTAACCAACGGTTTCAGGCTCCTACGAAAATGTTTAAGCGTCAGTGTATTTCAGAGGTGGATCTTCATCGGAGGTTTTACTAGCGAAAAAATTAAATCGGCATTTCTCTTGTAGATATAAGAAACCTTATAAAGATATGAAGAGGAAGTCATTTTGAAAGAAAAATGAAAAGAGATTATAAAAAAATAGAAGAATAAGAATTGCGAGAAATAAAGAGGAGGTGGTGTTGTGTTTGTATTTATAATGATAGGATAATGTAGTAGACATAAGAAATGACACATATACACATCATTACAAAAAAAAGAAAAAAAAATAGAACAAGAATATGCGCCATATGAAATGACGCATACAAACCTTATTAAAAAAAAGACAAAAAAATGCGCCATATAAAATCGCGCATGAGTTATGGATTCATAAGATAGCGTCATTTTATATCATTTATGTTAATACAAACTCCAAATCAAATGGCGCATGAGTGCAAAAGTTAGGACTAGCACCATTTAAAATGATGTCTTCTCTTTATGGCGGAAACATGGTTTATTTAGTATTTAAATTGAAAAAACAGATTATTTAAAAAAAAAAATCCATGAAAATCTCCCCATGAAAACTATCCTAAAAAATCAATGCTCCCATCCTACCACCACCACACATGATTAGCGGAACAAAAAGTAGGCTGAAACGACATCTCAGTTGGCAAAGACGGAGAGTCACCTTCACACATCATTACCAGACCCCACTACCAAACCTCCAACACAACGCTCCTTTTCAAAATTTCCTACTTTAACGATCACATGGCTTGTAACACACCTTTTTCATTTGAAAATTCAAATTTTGAAACGGTTGCACTTCCTCAAATCAATGAAAAATTAATTCATAATAAAAACAAACTTAAATAAATACCACTATTTTTTTCTAGTGAAAATTCGGAACTTTGCAAAGAAACATGGGAGAATCAGTTTCGTTTGGGAGATTCACGGCGGAGTCGTTAGCTTGGGAGAAATGGTCGACGTTCTCTCAGAATCAGAATCGTTACGTTGAAGAAGCTGAGAGGTTTTCGAAACCTGGTTCTGTTGCGCAGAAGAAAGCTTTCTTTGAGGAACATTACAAGAAACTTGCAGCTCAAAAAGCAGCTGCGTTGCTTGAACAAGCAAGAATTGATGAGGCAGAAAGTGCAAAACCTGAAGTTGTTGATACTGAAGAAAATGCAGCAGCTGTGAAGGAAGACAAGACTGTTGTAGGGAATTCCATGCAAACTCAATTTGAAGATGTTCAAAATGATGATACTAGTAAGGATCTAGGTGAAAAGGTCAGTGGAAAAACTCCAATTTACCTATCAAATATGAATCTAATATTGTTGATTTGAGATCTAGATTCACTCAGACATTCGTTCGGCACCGCGATCAGATGTCTTAAATTTTAAGCTTTTTAAATTTTTATAAAGCTCTTTTGAAATTTGAATCATCTGATCTGATGGTGCCAAATTGCTATTTGTGTTAATGCAGAAAATCTTTTTGAATTGTTGCCGGAAATATTTTTTTACAGAAATGATTTTTTTTTGTGTGTGCGAGAGTAGTTCAGGTTAACTGCACTCGCACACACTAGACAGTGACGTGGTGGTATATTTGCTCTTTTAATAATTTGAGAACGTAGCACTTACATAGTAATACTTATTATTGCAGAAAGGTTCTAACTTTGGCAGGGAAGTTTTGCAATCTATGGACAAATCCACATGTCCTATTATTTTAGATAGAAATAATATTTCTACACCAATGAACAATAAGGCTTCATTAAGAAAGAAGAGATCAAAAGCTAAGTCACTACCCATGTCAGTTAAGTTTGCACTCATTAGACAAATTAGTAGATTGAATTCAATGTTAATGAAGAAATTTGAAACTACAAGAGTTGGTTCTGGTTCTTCCATAGCTTCAAAGGATATATGGGTTCCTCCAACAACACCAACTAAGGTAATCAACCTTCAATTTTTACCATTTCATTATAAGACCCTCAACTTCAATTTTGTTAGGATAATTGCTAAAGCGAAACTTTTTTCAATTGCAGGCATGTAAGAATGAGTTACAGAAGCATCCTTCATTTTCCCCCTTATCAGAAAAGAAAAGGTACAACATAACATACCTTTATAACATGTACACTTCTAATTGAAGTCGTGTCTAGATTGTGTTGACATCACACACTGACATGACATCGACATATATTATAACCTTTGTTTCAAGACTAACATTTTCAATGTTTTAAATGCATGAAGAAACATAATGAAATCACCTACTATATCTTCCCAACTCAGCTTGAGAACAGAAGAAAGGACTCCGCGTAGAAACAAGGCAAAGCACTTTTCCCTACTTTATTTGATCATTGCAATGTGAAATGTAAATTGTCATTGACGAATATGTTATGATTATCTTACATGGTTCCTTCTTGTGTAGTACTGACACTTCGAATGAAGGCGTGTTCAGTATTTGTCACGAAATATTTCACTAGTATCCATGTCTATGTCAGTTTTTCATCGGTTGCTTCACATTTATAATTAACATTCAATTCTCTTGATATAGGAGAGATCACACAAAAAGAATAGAAATCTAAGACTATGCTTTTGTTTCAAACCGAGGCCAATACCCGAGTTTAACAAGGAAAGAGATGATTCTAATAGAGGGACAGAAGAGGTATATTCCCACATTTGTTGATAAACTATTGATCCTAATGTATCTGAGAAAAGGTTGTAATAAATTGTCCATAACAATCAAAAGTTGATTTCTTGCAGGATTCACTGACACTGACACCAGGAAGAAGAGTCACTTCTAGAGTTCGAAGCAAAGGCTCTTTATCTTCTGAGAGTATCATTACTTATGAAAATATGTCTCCGAATATTCAGCATGGAATCAAAAATGAAAGAAATGACTAAACTTTTTATAGAAGAGAATACAGAATCAGTGAATGATATCATATGACCACTTCTTGTTGTCATAGTTTATATGTAAACTCTAAACAGGTATTAAATTGTAGTTGCAGTTTGGTTATGTAGCAATTTTGCAGAAAATTATAAGCTGCAATTACAACTACAAAATAGAGAGGCCTGCCAAAATAAAACAATATATTATATAAATTTGCATATTGATCAGAGTTACTTCTTAATACGTAGAATGTATAGAAACAGAAGGAGTAATATTTATTTGAAAGCATTATGTTACTTCCACAACAACAAAGGTGTAATTAACAGATCCTAATGTCTCATCCATAATAATTTTGAATCTTTCCTTTGTATTGGTAATGATACATTTGAAGCAATTTTCAAGCAATTGCAATCTGCAATTACAAACAATGTCATAAAATCATGAGCAACATTCCACGAAACACCAATCTTCATCTTCATATATTTCTTCCTTAACTTGTTCAACACGCAACGGATACTCCACTTCTTTTTCATCTAAAGTGCATGAAATTTTTTCATCTTCCACCTCATCGTCATCTACATGTTGAACAACACTTTCATCTTTCACATCATCATCATCCACATGGTCAACAACACTTTCATCTTTCACATCATCATCATAATCATCCACATGGTCAACAACACTTTCTTCTTCTTCATCATCACCATCCACATACCAATTAGAAATATGGTTCAAAGTCCCGGTCGCGGACAACCCTGTAAATTTCAAACCGGGTTGATCCATGACCTGGAAATGCTTCAAACTTCCTTTAGATTTGTTCTTTGACTTTGACACCGGATGAAGACGGCAATCGGTGCACCGCGCCTTGCCACATTTACCGGTGAATTTGGAGTGGTTGGTGGGCTTGGAGGGAACCTTTGTGAAAAGTCCAGCTGTTGGAGGCGAATCGAACCGTGTGACGAATCGGGTGCCGGGATTCGGGTTCGGTAGGATCCTATATGTCCTGACCATGCCATGTTGCTTACCCTCCCTCTTCATTTTTGTTGAATTGGGGACTTGAGACAAAGAGATTGATGAGAATATAGATGAATGTATTGTGATTATATATATTAAGGTTGTAGACATGAGATAAGAACCTTGGGAAGCAAGGTGTTTGTAGTCATACTTTTGCGTGGTGACCAAGTAAAACAAATTATTGTTAAGATTGAATATAAAAATGGACTAAGTTAAACAAATTATTGTTAAGATTGAAAGAATAAAAAGAAGTTATTTGACAACTAGTTTGTATCAAATATTCTTGCGAGACAGAGAAACAACAATAAACAACAACGATGTAATCTTATCCTAAGTGGTAACTACTTCTATAAATTTCAAAATAGTTATAGACGATAAAATACTAATTGATTATTTTAACTATATTTAAAAAATGCATAAATTAATATAATAATCTTTAAAAAATTAATATATCAAAATGAAATATTTAAGTGTTACAATATTCTTGAATCAAATTATATGATTTTATGAATATTATATTCATTGTTAATTTAAAATATGTTATGATACTTAATTAGAACTAAATTTTTTGGTGTATAACAACTCTGCAGTTTAATATTTTAAAATATTAATTGTTGCTGGTTGAATATTCTTTCGATATTATGAAGAATTTAGTTTATGATCACCTAGTCAACCATTCTAAAGGACGAGTTTTAACATAGAAAAATAGTACTATATTTGTTCGTTTTACACTTCTGAAGTCGTAAGTTATTGATATTATAAAAATATATGGATGATCAAGATTTAAAAAAATAGACAATTTGAATAGAAAAAGTGTAGTTCACGGACTTGTAATAAGTTGATCTGATGTTGTAACCGGTTACATTCTTTTTAAAAAAGAATTAGAATATTGGCGTAAACGATTACATCTTATTTGTAATCGATTATAGCAGAAATAAAATCATTTAGTAATCAGTTATATTTTTCTGTAATTGATTACAGCGGTAGGATTTTCTGGTTTTTTGTTTGTTACTTGTATCTCACTCAATGTAATTGTATATATGTCATTTGAATATTTCATTAATGATTGATCATTATATTTCTCTCTCTCTCTCTCTCTCTCTCTCTCTCTCTCTCTCTCTCTCTCTAGTTCAAGTGAAGGACCAGTTCACTTGTAATAAAAGTTCTCCCCACACGGGGATGGGTAGGAGGCATGTCCAGTTGAAAAAGTGTCAATGACGGTATAAAATGTATGTGTATGAAAGAGTTTTCGTTGGGGGCATTGTGGATAGACTCACAATTTAGGGGGAGTGTTGAGAAAAAACAATTGTTAGTTGGAAATGTTGAGAAACAAGTGTGGGAAGTCCCACATTGATTAGAAAATAAAAAATTAAACATTTTATAAGTGAGAGAACCCACAAATATATCACCTTAAGATTTTGGAGAAATATATGGTGTACCTCTCACAAGGGGTGTTGCTCATAAAAAAAAAACCCAACAAAAAATGCTCATTCACGTTGACCCCCAAATTGATGACCCAACAGTGGTATCAGAGCTGGTTCGATCCATCAAACACTTAGTGAGCAAAAATGGTTTCCATCTCCAATGAATGTATTCCTACAAATCTTTCAATTCTTGATGCAAAGAATTGCACAACTGGGGCAACCAAATGAATGTGTTGTTTTGTTATCAAGATGTTCTTGAAGTGATCAAGAACGGTGTTACTTAACTTGTAGAAGGTGCAACAATTGCACACAGAACCTCGTATAAGGAAGATAATACAAAATATTACAAGGCGTTTTATCTCATTCACCAATACGTTGATGCTGACAACTTTGAGAAAGTTGGTGATTGTACATCCTCAAAGGAAGCTATGAAAATCTTGGAGAAATATTATGCATAAGCTGATAAGGAAAAGGTGGTGGGGTTACAAACTCAAAAAGGTAGCTGAAGTTATTTCAAATGGAGGAGAAGGAAGCCAATAGTGAATTTACTACGATAATTGCAAGATTGGTGAACCAAGTAAAGGTGTGTGGAGAAATGATCATAGAGCAGTATGTTGTTGCAAAAACCTTGTGTTCTTTGATGTCAAGATTTGACAATGCACTGGTTGCGATTAAGGAATCGAAAGATCTCACAACAATGAGTAAGGAGGAGCTACAAAGCTCTCTTGAAACTCATGAGCAGAGAATGGAGGAAAGGAATGTTGATAAGAAAAAGACAGAGATCACTTTGCAAGTTCACTTTAATGAAAGACACAAGGAGGTGAAGGGAAAGTGACCCATGAACAAAGGTAGTGGGGACTTTCATAATTTAGGTGGAAGGGAATCCCAAATTTCCAAACTTTCAACATTTTAAAAGGGTAAAAGTAGTGGCACTGGGTTGGTGGATCATACAACTCTAAAGGTGGAAACGTTAGAGAAAGAAAAGGAAGTAAGAAAAAAAAAGAGACACAATTAGTATGCAGTGCTTTAATTGTAAATAATATGGTCATTTTGCAAGAGAGTGCAATGCCAACTTGTCATACCCCAAATTTGTCCTACCCTCTCTTGGTCTTGTATCAAACATTCGTGGGGATTCATGCCTTTTCTCTAAATGATCACCCGGCCTCTGACCATGATCTTTTTGTTAGAACACATATTGATGTTTAGTATATCTCTATGTTTTGATGATAACACTAATGGAATTTTGTATTAAGAAAATATATACTCTAATTTTGTTCAAGTATTTTTTGTTTCAGATATTAAAATAAAGATTCTGATGGAAGCAAAAATGCATCTGAACAGTATTCTACGCAAAGCTCTGAAGCATCAGAAGCAAGTGATCAGAAGACTCTAAGCGCTGCCAGGAGAGACTCTGAAGTAGAAGCTACAGAAGACTCTGAAGCAGAAGCTGCAGAAGACTCTGAAGCGTAGTTGAAGATTTTGTATGAAGAGTTTCAAGCATTGTTTTAACCAGACTCTGAAAGTACTTTACGCTGCAAGTACAGAGGCTCTGTTATCCAAACTTTGTTCTGATTGATATTCACGCTGAAGCACATTGGCTGCAAAACTCTGATAACATCAAGACTCTGATGTTGATAACTTTGAGATAGAAGATTGTTGAAGAAGATTTTATTCAAAGATATATCCGTTGGCATATTCCAAACGACTCTTTCCTTATTTATGTATGGCACAGGAAATCAGAAAAAAGGGATTAGTCTGAACATTCCTCTTCTGGGAAAGCTAAAGTCAGTAGAAGACAAAAGGCTACAGCTATTCTGCTATGCACAATCTTCAAGCATTGGACTTTCAACTCTATAAAAGGACGTATTCAACAACATTTCAAAGTTGACGAATCACTTGATAAATCAAATTGAAAACTACTCTCAAGCTCTCATACAATATTTTCATAAGCTGAATAGTTTTTTATTCGTTCTTAATCTAAGTGTAAAAATCACAGTTTGTGATATAGATTTTTAGAAGCATCTTAAACACTTGTTAGTTTACATTTAATTGTAAAAGGTTCCTTAAGAAGACCAAGTTGTGGTCATAATTTCTTGAGAAGACTAAGACAGTTGTTCTTAGTGGTTGACACTATAATCTGTTTGAATATAGTGGATTAAGTCCTTGTTGAGAAAGGCAAATCACCCAGGTAGGGTGGAATGGAGTAGTTGAGTTCAACGAACCAGGATACAAATTCTGTGTTATTTTTATTGCCATATTTATTTCAAAACCCTTATTCAACCCCCCTTCTAAGTGTTTTTCCCACCTTCAGTTGGAATCAGAGCTCCGGCTCTATTGTGCTATCACTTAACAGTGAAAGAGAAAAGATCCAGTGGGAAAACTCTTGATATATTTTGGTTGATACATTATGGCTAAAGCTTCAACTTCAAATTCCAACAACATATATGAAGACAGAGATAGAATCAGCACTAAACCTCCCTGTCATACCTCGAAAAATACGATCCTCGTGATGGACGCGGAAAATACTGTTCGGAACAGAGTCGCCACCGGATTTTATTCATTCCAAGGAAGGAATAGGAAAATATCGATAAAACCTTTAAAGGGATAAGAACATGGTCATCGCAACCAATATTCTAGGTTCGGGAGTCGATTACATAGAGGGAAGGTATTAGCACCCTCTACATCCGTTGTACTCAACGGGAACCTCTTGATTCGATTCGTGAGAGAAAGTGGATACGCTTGTTTATCTTCTAAAGGAATTGCTTGCTAAAGGGGATTGGTGGTTTTAAGATAGGGTGCTCGCCAAGGATTGGGCCCTTGTGCCTACGTATCTTCACTTGTAAGAAGTGGAAAATCAGAGCATTCGTAGTTCGTGGGACTACGGGTAAAAAAGGGGATTGTGCTCGCTAGGATTATCGCAATCCTATGCCTACGTACTCTCAACAGATATGAGAGATCAGAGCAGCCGTAGTTCGGCTTACGGTTTGCTAAAAGGTTTGTGTTTAGAATGAACGAGAGTTTAGGTCGCATTCTAACTGCTAAACGTTGGCTTTGTCTGCTCTCTAGGGGAGGCGTAAGCACGAGTTTGTTATGCGCGGAAGAAGGGACTAAACAATGTTCTTTGAAAAAGGTGTATGAGTTGTGAATCGCACGAGGGCGAGTAGAGTTTGATTGGTTAAGTATTTTGGTTTAGAAAAGAGGGTAGATTTGAATAGGTTTTAGGGTTGTGGTCGCACGGGGCGAAAAAGAGATTGGTTAGATGTATTGGATGTTTAGCTAGAGGTGACGATTACCTAAAGCTTAAGAAAGACTCCTCGGGCCCAAGTAATCGGGAGAGTGAAGCAAAGACTTGGAGCTCTCTCTTTTTCAACCTAAAATGCGAGAGAATAGGATTGAATATGGTTTGAATAAGTTGAACGAATGACGATTACTTGAAGCTTAAGAAAGACTTCTCGGACCTTAAGTAATCGGGAAAGCGAACCAAAAACTTGGAACACTCTCTTTTTCATCGCAAAAGGAGTTGTTTGAATGGCATTTGAATGATAGGATGTGATTAAAGTATTTTAACAGATGAGGATTACTCGAAGCTTAAGAAAGACT